TCATCATCATCATCATCATCATCATCATCATCATCATTATCATTATCATTATCATTATCATTATCATTATCATTATTATTATTACTCCTTTATCTCTTCCACCTTTATTTCTGATACAAGGACCTACGTATAACTTCACCTCATATTTGCTTCTATCCTCACTAGAAGCCTCTGCTCCCCAAAGAGTTGATAAGTCCTTGCTAGTTAGCATAGTCCAGTATTTGCATGGTTGACTTCACTATTACTTTGTTATTGCATCTCTCCTTAAAGAAAGATGTAGTTTTAGGAGAGGTAGCTTTGTCAGTCTGTGCAAGCATATTAGGCAAAATTCAAAGAAACAAAACTACAGTAAATGAAAAAAGACAAAAATATGTGGCATCTTAAGTATGCTTTTGTGGACAAGTCCACTTCATCAGACCTATGGGCACTGTAAATGGTAGGGTGAAAATCTATGAAACTGCCAGGATGTGTGTGAAATAAATCACTTTTAAGTAGTTAGCAAAGTCCCGGGGGGAAAAAAATTACGCTTTCTCTTCTCCAGACAGCAATGAAAAATAAAATGCAGCAAAAGTTTTGCTCTGAGAGATTAGAACAATATAACTCACAGACAAACTGTTGTCTTTCTCCAGATCAACTTTGTTCTGAATCTGGATCCTGATTTGGAAATGCTTGTCTTTATGCCTCCCTTGGCTGTCACTGAAAATCAACCAAGAGCTGTAATGTGTGTCAGTGTGTCAGACCCAGACTAAATTATAGGGATAAAATCTCTTAGAAGCAAGTTATGTCCACCAGATTTGTTTTTCTAAAAGTTAACTTTTGTTATAATAAACACAAAAAAAGAAAACACACACACACACACACACACACACACACAAATGTGGGTCTGTTGATTTTTCATCCAATTGCTCTTTTTCAGCAACAATGCTTGGATACAAGTTGTTGTGTTAATTTCTTAAATTTAGAACTACGCTGTAATTCCACCCAGCTATTAAAATAATCTCCCAGTGTTTCCAACTCTGAGCTGGGCAGTTGGACTAGACTGTAGTGCCATTCTTGGTTGCAAGCCCAATGCAAGTTACACCTGATGGACAATAAATCTGAAAATTGGCTGCACAGGTCCACTTGCATTGGCTGTCTCTGTCTAGGATGCAGGATAATACTTCCCTGTGTTCATGATTTGCTACCAATGATTACTACATGATTTAAAAAAAAAAAACTGAACCCAGAAGCTATTTCTCCCAAATATGGAGTGTATTCCTTATGTTTGAGGTTATGTCTTGAAACAGTCTTATGTTAAAATTGAATCTCTCTCTCTTTTTTAATCTTCCATCTTTAGCTTTGTTTACTTTTTCTAAATGCAACACTGGCCCCCCACCTTCCTGAGCTTCTGTAAGCAACTGAAAGCCTGGCCTTTACAGACCTCATATCTTTGTAATATTATTTTTGTACTGAGTTTACTCTTGGCTCACCAAATGGGTTGTTTTTATATGCTCAATTCTCTCTCTTTTTAAAAATGTTGTATTGTAAGCTTTTGTTATTACCTGGAAGCTGCCCAGAGTAGTGGCTTGTCCACTAAATTGGCAGGGTGTAAGTTTAAAAAAACAAACAAACAAAAATAAACACTACATTCATATTTCTGCACATGCATTTTCATTGAATTGTCAAGGTTAAATTGGCCCAAATCCTGCTGCTTAGCATACTAAATCACACTAGAATAGGCTGATTAAATGTTGCAGATTTCTGAATTTCCGGTAAAAATGCCTTTTGCTGCCCAGTAGAGATACATAGACTGACAGAGGAGAATAGCTTCAACTCCCCAGACAGTCCTTTCTCGTTAACTGGCACTTAAGGTCTCAGAAACACACTCTGAGACATTAGTAGGAGAAAAAACAAAAACTTACAATTGTAAACAGATCAACAGCAAACTAATAACTTGCTGACCTCAACAGATGAAAGAGAGGGAAAGGAGCACTCAGCAGAGAAGTGGGGCTGTCTTAGAATTCAGAAGCAGGAGGAAACAATTGGTTAGTGCTACATTGATTGACAGTCACCCCAGCCAAGAAAGGCACCTTCTAATCATTCAAATCACAGATAGTATACAAGGCAGTAAAAACTCCTGCATTCAGTTAATGGGGATTTCATGAATCAGCTAATTGACAAGTACCATTGACTCTAGTAGGCCTACTCTAATTGCAGCTTACTTTAGCATGGTAAATTGCAGTTAGAGTAAACCCATTTGAATGAATGGAACCTATGGAGGAATGGACTCACTAAATCCCCATTGATTTAATGGGCCTACTGTAGCCTGATTTACTGTGCTAAGCAACATGATCTGGGCCATTGTTCATCTGTTCTTGATGGAGAGCTAACTGTTCTTTTCACTTCATCTAGGCTTCAGTTGTTTTGAATTTGTACACAATATGTTACCGCCCACAGGCACAGCATGTTTAATTGCTTATTTAGGATATTGGTTTGTTATGTCACAATGTTACTTGTGATTGAATACTGTATATTCCACATCTGGTTGTTATGCAATGGGGCCCCACAGATGCAAACAAACAAACAAAAACCATTATACAGTGGTGCCTCGCTTAACGGGCGCCCCGTTTAACGACAAAATCGCATAGCAATGAAGATTTTGCGATCGCTTTGCGATGGTCTGAATGGGGTTTTTTCGCTTTGCGATGATCGGTTCCCTGTTTCGTTTACCGATCATTGCAAAGCGACAATTTTAAAACAGCTGATCAGCGGTTCAAAAATGGCCGCCGGGTTTTAAAAAATGGCCACCCGCTGTGCTTAGGGACGGATTCCTCGCCTGCCGGGCAGCGAAAATGGCCACCGTATGGAGGATCTTCGCTTAAAGGTCAGTTTTAAGCCCATAGGAACGCATTGAAGGGGTTTCAATGCATTCCGATGGGCTTTTTTAAATCGCATAGCAATGAAATTGCTTAGCAGTGATTTTTGCTGCTCCGATTAATGTCGCTATGCGAGGCACCACTGTATTAGTGAATGCTAACAAGGAAATTGTGTGAAACAAGATGTTCAGCAGTTAAAACATTTTTGAATTAAAAAATATTTTAGCACTCATTGAAACTTCATGAATTTTCCTGTGTAATAGTGATATTTTTATCACTGCGTATCATTTCTAAAATATTTGGCTGAGCAATAATGATATATGGCACGTTGAAGGTTTTTTTAAAAAAATGTAAATTCACACTTTGTGCTACAATTACAGTCTCATCAAAATCGGGGGGGGGTTTTAACCTCTTTCATTATTTGTGCTACTAAACATGTCATCTGTTCAGTTTTTCTTGCTTTTTTAATAATCCAATTTCTTTAACAGACTTCTTGCACAATCTTTTTTAAAATTCATGAACACATGTCCTTCTATGTCCTTTCTTCATTCTTGGCATTTTCCCAGTATTTAATGTTTCTGCCTGTAAGCTAAGCATAATTTCAGGTTACATAGTTTATCTGCATTTTAGAAGGGTTCCTTTTCCCACCATAATTTTAGTTTTTCTGAGCACATTTGTGTCATATTGCTTTGGCTGTTTCCTCTCCTGTTGCAGTTTTCTCCCTTTCAAAAGCCCATTGTTGCTCTCAGAAATTATTTGTGGCTCAGTCTATGAACTTCTGTGGCTCACAGGCTGAAGTCCTATTCCGTAAATTACCCGAAAAGCATCCTACCGGCAGAATTTTTCAAAAATTAACACATATCCTCCCCATCTCGCAGCCCCTAATGGCTTCCCCATTGATGAAGGGGTTCCATGGCAGCTTCAAAAGCTTTGAGGAGGAATCAAAAAATTTTTCAATTTCCAAAAAATCACCATGGCTGATGATGACATCATCTGACTCTGTGGCTGAAATTGTGTTATACAGTTTACACCACATAAGGCTGATGACAACATCAGCCTTATGTGGTGTAAACTGCACAACAAGATTTCAGCCACAGAGTGAAAGGTTGCCAGTAGTTACCTGAAGGATTTCAGACCTGCGGTCACCTTCAAATCTTACACATGTCTCCAATTGCCTTCCACTTTTCTAGCGCTACACACACACAATGGTTGGGGGGGCGGTTGCATGCGCACATACACACATACTGAAGCTGAAAATTCTATTTTGCTGGTGTTACCTGTAGAGCTAAAGTGAATGATAAAGACAGAAGGCTAAATCTGATTGTTAGTCCTAGCTAGAACAGACCAACTGGCCAATATTGTGTTTAGTATTTATGCTCGTGGAATGCCAGTTGTGGAAGCTGCTGCAGCAGTCGGATGAAGTGCTGGTCACGTGCCTGATTTCACACTTCAGATCACCACAGCAGCTTACGCTCTTACAGCTTCACACACATGTGCATACCAAACAGGATACTACATACTGAACGAAAGAGAAGCTGGTAAGTCAGCACTTATGTCCTGTATATTCCACTGATCCATTGTGCCTACTCTAGTTGCAACTCATTATTGGATTTAGGCCATAGCTAATGAACTATATCCGGACCCTAGCATAGAGAGTAAGGGTCTTTGGCACTCCTGCTAGCTTCACAATCCAGAGCAGGACACCATATCAACAACATAGATTACGAAAAAGTGTTCTGTCCAGTTTGTTCACACAGATTTGAACTGGTAGCTCTTGGTCCAGTGGGGGGAGAGCATTTACTCCAATATTTGAGGGTAAATTGCTTCCCTTTGTGTGGGAACTAGGCCACCCCTGCAGATGCGTCTGTACTCTTTCCCCCTGATTCACTTTGCATATTACTTTAGAATTTCTCTTCTAGTTGTCCATCATGTAAAAATAATAGGAATATGGGAATGTGAAGGCATTTCTAGTGGTGTGTGGATTCTGGTAGGAACTTCAGATCCTACATTAATTGCTTTTTAAACATAAGACTGCAGAGTTGCTGTTTGTAGTGAAAGGCTGGGGAAGCTATATAATTAAAACCAGGAGGAAACTAAAGCAGTACTTATCAACTC